TACAAATGTGTTGGATTTTACAAACGCATTACAAGCATCTGAATGCGTTTGGTTACCCCTTTCATGAATTAATAATTATCGACGTTAAGGAAAAGTCAGGTTCCATGTTTAACGATGGTGAAGAAGGCATACAGCATCCAGGCAGCCTGGGGTCACCTCCACTGGGTGGCTCAAAGGTGTTGGAGGAGGGCTCTGAATAAATAACCCCATGTTTGGTTTCCACCTTAACCCCCCCCCCCCCCGGTGCCTGTTGGTACATGGCTGAAGCAGACGTTCACGGAGGCGGATAAGAACGGAGACGGCACCCTGAGCATCAGTGAAGTTCTGCAGCTCCTCCACAAGCTCAATGTCAACCTGCCGCGCCAGAAGGTCAAGCAGATGTTCAAGGTAATGGCAATCAAGGACTTGTGCCAAATGAGTTGCATTGTAGTGCCGCTAGTTAGCATTAGCGCATGTGCCCCAGGATATGTTTGAACAACTGGAAATCATACACAGACATTGACACAGGGGTAAACAAGGCAAGTAGGGGGCAGGATAGTATAGTGGTTAGGGTGTTCGACTCCCAGCAGAAAGGTACTGGGTTAGATCCCCAATGTCCGCTGCCTACCTGGAGCAAAATGCCCTAACCCTTACTTGCTTCTTAATGATCTGAATTCATGCATCTGAAATCACTGTAAGTCGCTTTGGATAAAAGCATCGGCCTCTTGTCTGCATATCCTTGATATAGCATTGCTATAATATTTGATTACATTTCCCTTTGTGTAGTGGTTGTTGAAGGTACAAATGTATTGATGTGACACCGATGTGTCCATCAATAATATAGACAATACTGCAGCATTAGATTTTCTCTCAGCTCCAGTTGGTTGATTGGCGTTTTCATGAGAAAATGTCAAAACAGTGTCTTTATCTTTCTCAGCTCCCCTCGGAGTAGAAATGGCGACAGCATCCCCTTAAGCACAAGACATCCTAATTAATGAGGCTCTGCTTATTGTGAAAGGCTCTACTTTCACAGATTTGTTTGTTTTCGTTAATGTCTCTTGTTTAAAAGGCAAACGGTGCTTTTTTATTCACCCGGTGGAACTTATGTTTATATAATTGAGATAAGATTTAAATTGAAGAAGAAACGGCCTTCTTGGCTCACTTTAGAAAACTCTAAACCGCAATGTTTGGATCATGAACAACACAAATTTGAAGTTACACTGTGGCACTGGGATGTACCCACGCAAAACACACGCTCCCTCTCTCTCTCCCTCTCTCGCAATTTATTTTTGCCTCTTTATCTTTCTCTCTCTCTCTCTCTCTCTCTCTCTGTCTCTGTCTCTTTCTCTCTCTGTCTCTATCGCTCTCGCCTCTCACTGTCTCTGAGAAAGAGCATCTGTTTTGGTAGCTAGAAGCGTCTGTCAGCTCTACCGTAGTATAAGAAACGCTGTTTGGAACAACAACATGACAGGTATGAGATGGAGAACAGAGCTGGCTGGCAGCGACAATCACTGCTTGGCATTTCATCGCCCAGTCATTTTGCATTGCCTGTGTGCACAGTGATAGTACTGATTACATACCGATGCATGCGTGGTTTAACTTTAAGTGGGTGTTGAGTCGCCATCTGTCCGTTTGGGATTTTTTGTTTTATTACAGGCAAGGTTTCTCAGAGATTATTATTTTTATTGATGACCATTATAGGCAGCATAGTGTTTTTGCTACTCAAGGCTTAACAGACAAAACATGGTTTTGATCTTTGACTGATTGGTAGAAAACGTGTCGTGCTCCGTTTTGAATTCACTATTCTGTGTGTCCTCAGGCAGATGCTGGTTTTGTTTTTGTTGTCAAGGTGAATGTCAGCTCTCGTTGTGTTCAGCTTGTCGCGCCGCGTTCCAGTGAGTCTTCTCATTCACCTGACATCTTTTCAGTGGCGGTGAGCCAGCGGCCTTCATGTTCCATCGTCATTCAAACATTCAAAAGCAGAGCAACTTTTCCTTTTACTGTCTTGACTTTGTTCCCTTTCAATAAGCCCATAACTTCATTCAGTCGGGCTGCTATTGCCTTCATGATTATTATTATTTTTTTTTTTAACAAGTAGCTAAGATATACTGTTAATCGTTCCCAACTTTCCAACAAGTAGTTGCTGCACTCCAAAACATGATGTTTCTCCCGAGTTAATGCCGAGGTCTAAGAAAGGCTGTATATGTACGGTGGAAAGGTCAGAGAAGTCTGCTTCACTCTGAGAAGATCTACTTGTGCGGAGAAGTATACAAACTTCATCCAAACTGTCGGAAAATGCAACTAAAACATCCTGGCATTTAAACTTGGTGTTCGCTTTTCCGTTCTCGTTTTTGTTTGTGAGAATGTTCCTAAGTGTTCCTCTTCCATCTCCTCTACATTTGGTTGTATTACCACCAGACCGGCACCCACTGTGTAAATCCTATCACACACTGAAACGTTAATTGTGAAATTAATGCAGTATTCATGTTAAGAAACCAAAAGTGCAAAGGAGGTCATTGTAAAAAGCACTTAGCTTGAACATGGACTGAGCCGTAACCCAGAATCAAGCCTTGACCAATATCGCTAATGCTACAGATGATGCGGCCAACGCGTATGTCTTCCCGCTAAGTCCTCCTATGCGTACGGTGGCGGTAGACTGGGGGGGGGGGGGGGGGGGGGGGGGGGGTCAAGGATTAGCTTGTTAGCGAGTGGAGCCGCTAGCCCATGAAGGATGTGTCTCAGGCCAGGTTCCAGCTAGAGGAGTTAGTCAGGTAGTTAGCTCTAAGCCCACTTGCCTGGTGATGCTTGTCCCATATGGTGCAGTTTGGGGACAGATGGCCCATGGGTTGATTTGATGGAAACACCAGGGACAGTCTGGCTGTGTTGAACACGGGAGAGGACTAGTGTGTTTACAAATCTGCTCCGCGGTACCGCGGCTTGACCTGCTTCCAGAGGAGGCTGTGGTGACTGTTGATTTTCCTTTTCTTTTTTTTTTTTAATTGATGTACCTTTTAGACAGCATAGCATTGTTGCTACCCCAGGCATTCTCCTGAACAGACAAAAACATGTTTTTTAATTTTTGACTGATTGGTAGAAAACGTGTTGTGCTCCATTTTGAATTCACTATTCTGTGTGTCCTCAGGCAGATGCTGGTTTTGTTTTTGTTGTCAAGGTGAATGTCAGCTCTCGTTGTGTTCAGCTTGTCGCGCCGCGTTCCAGTGCGTCTTCTCATTCACCTGACATCTTTTCAGTGGCGATGAGCCAGCGGCCTTCAACTTCCATCATCATTCAAACATTCAAAATGCAGAGCAACTTTTACTGTCCGGACCATTGTTCCTCTTTTAATAAGCGCATAACTTTAATCAATCGCGATGTTACTTCATAATTCTCTTAGCCAAGTAGCCAAGATACTATTGATTGTTTGACCCAACTTTCCGTTGATCCAACAAATAGTTGGATCAATCAAAACGAGCTAAAACTAAGGTCTAAGAAAGGCTGAATATGTATGGTGGAAAGGTCAGAGAAGTCTGCTTCACTCTGAGAAGATCTACTTTGTGTGGAGAAGTACACAAACTTCATCCAAACTGTCAGAAAATGCAACTAAAACATCCTGGCATTTGAACTTGGTGTTCGCTTTTCCGTTCTCGTATAATTTGTGAGAATTTGAGTGTTCCTCTTCCATCTCCTCTACATTTGGTTGTATTACCACCAGACCGGCACCCACTGTGTAAATCCTATCACACACTGAAACGTGAATTGTGAAATTAATGCAGTATTCATGTAAAGGAAAAACAAAAGTGTGAATGAGGTCATGTTAAAAAGCGCTTACCTTGAACATGAACTGGGAAGAATCGAGCCGTGACCGATATCGCTCATGCTACAGATGTTGCAGCTAAGGCGTATTTCTCACCGCTAAGTCCTATGCGTACGGTGACGTAGACGGGGGGGGGGGGGGGGGGGGGGGGGGGGGGGGAGGACGGTTGAACAACATGTATCTGCCATTCTGCTAATGTACATCAATCAGATTGGGGTTACTGTAAAATGTTGTGTACATTTTCATATTACGCACATTGACACGTTTATCCACAGTGATTTTCAGTGTATTTACATGTCATTTATTTGCATGACAGGTAGGGGTTGGGCATTAGGTAGACTGCAAAGATTGAGGATACGAACCCAGAACCTTTCGGCCGGGAGTCAAACACCGTAAGCACTAGACTGTCCTACTTCCTGGATGCAGAGAATAAATCACTTCAGATGCAAGACCCACCGCCTCCCAAGATTTACTGCCTTAATAGCAGCGAGCAGGCTTTCGGTTTCAGAGATTAGCGGTGCTACTGAGTGTGTATGTGTGGCACACAGCTCGACACACAAGTCTTTTTCTGCTCGGGTGGGCGTCGTCGCTGGAGGTATTACTATGGATTTAGCCCGGCTCAGGGAACACCAGGCGAGGGAAGGCGACTGGAGCAAGGAGAGATCTACTCAATGATTTATCAAAGGCCGAGAGTCTCTCGCGATGTGGAGAGACGATCGGAGAGAGAGAGGGTGGTACTGGTATGGCAGTTCCTGCTGCTGATAAATTAATCCAGATTATCTGGCAGGACTGAAGCACCAAGGACATGCTAACTGCTTAAGTGCCCTCCTTCGTGCATAATGAATAGGAACGAATGAGGCAGGATTGATGTTTTCTGTCCAAGCGGAGCGGGAAGGGGACCACCCGTCTCTGACTGCTTTATGTTAACCTCCGGGGGGGAGCTGCCAGTGTGTCTCCCCCACGTCTTGAATAACTGTGTTGTGTTGGATGTGTTGAAGACTTAGACTCTGGACTCCACCATAATGACCTTTTAAACAGCCGTGAGCTATTAACAAAGCCTGTTAATACACAAGCCATCTTTATTTTCAGAATGATATTGCAAACTAAATCAATGCACCAATGTACTTTATAGCCGTTCACAATGATAAGTTGCAGAGTACAAATTAAACGCGTTTATCCAACACCATAAGTGAATATAGCCTCAGGATGGCTGACGCCAATGGGAATCAAACCCCTAGCCCTGGCAGCGAAGAAGCCATGCTCTACCAGTTGAGCTAGACAGGACCAGGACTGTGTAGACAACTGCAACAGGTGGACCCTGGTCAGAGCAAAGTTCTCAGTACTCTTGGCTCTTCTATTGCTTGTTTCAAAGACCCATCAGCTGACTCAGACCAGCATCTCAAAGCCATCACCTCTGTGTCTCACGTCACAGTGCGAATGAAATCGTGAACTCTTCTACTGCTCCAAGAGCTGTTTCTTAAGTCATCTTGGTTTGAAGCGCATAGGAGTGTGATACCTGTGAAAACTGTGTGCGTCTGTGTCTGTCTTGTCTGTCTGTCTTGTCTCAGTCTGTGTGTTTATTGGTGTGTGTGTGTGTGAGTGAGATGGTGAAATTGTGTGTGTGCATGTGTGTTCAGTTCATACATTGCGTTGCTGCCAACCTCCTACCAGTGTGTGGACGTCATCTCTCTACAGTAGCGCAGTAGCCTTGGGTGCTGGCCAACATATGGAGGCCACTAAACTAACAGCCTGTCAGCCTCACGTCCACAAACTGCCGCTTTATGGACACGCATGCCTGTTCCAAGACAGGTCCAATAATGGACAGATTGTCATTACACTCAACCAAATGGCTACAGTTAAAGCTGGGTGATATTGACAGCATCACATTCACAATATTTCTGAACATCTGTGTAATGCATATGTCGGCATAATGTTAATTGGAAGTGGGGAGTCACTCGATGCATTCATTGTCCATTCCACTGTGTTAAAGGAGTCTTGTGAGATTGGAAAATGATCCTGTGTGTTGTGATGCAGCCTTTTAAGGCGACATGTCACCATTGCTAGGCTATGTTGTAGCTCAGCTAACCTGCTGCTAGGCTAATGCGTCGCCAGTGAAACATGTGATGGCTAAAGTGACGCTAGGCTAACGCATTGCTAGGCTAATATATTGCTAGACTAGAGTGTTGCTAGCCTAGCATGTTGCTAGGCTAGCGCATGACTAGGCTAAAGTCTCGCCAACCTACAAGGTGCTAGGCTTATGGTTTATTTTACTGTCTTGTGTGCAGGAGGCGGACACAGACGACAACCAGGGCACACTGGACTTCGAGGAGTTCTGCTCCTTTTACAAGATGATGTCGACGCGCAGGGACCTCTACCTGCTCATGCTCACCTACAGCAACCACAAGGACCACATGGACGCTGACGACATCATCCGCTTCCTGGAGATAGAGCAGAAGGTGAGGTGGCATGCATGTGCACTATGATCCTACATCTGTAACCTAGGTTGCAGATGCTTGTGTTTGGGGGCACGCATGCACACAAGCACACTAGACCCAAAACCTCCCAGATGTGCCAACTACAATTATACTACTTGGACCTAATGGGTTATTTTACAAATGTAAAATGCAGACGCTGTTCATATGACCAATGGTACCCTGGTCTGAGGAAAATGTCCACCTTACTTATGCGGTCAGGCCTCGAAATTAACTTTTTTACTTGGTAGCACTGGTGCTCCTCAGTGCTGGTGCTTCAAAATGTAGAAGCACCCACCAAAATGTAAGAAGCCCCAACAATATATGTAGATTTTTTTAATTGATAAAGAAAATGTCAGTTACCACTATAGTAAGAGTATATGCTATGAAAGTATGCTAAATAAATTAAATCCAACAATCAAAAAATAACACTCAACATTTGCTGGTACATTTGGCAAGTAAGCCTACTGACTGAAAAATACAATTACAGAAATCATTAAATACCTAACGAAAGAACAAATTACCTTAAATTTATGGAAATTATATTTTCATAATAAACAAGTTCAGAGCTCTAAATCCTTGAATGAAAAAAAAGAAAGGTTGCATCAAAACAGTTATTTGCACAAATGCTCCCAATTATATTTTGATAGTGTACAGATTGAATTTCAGGAGCATATACGACCGAAACGGTAGCAATTTCCAGCCCTGGCAGTCACAACAGACTTTAATGGTTGGAGCACGTAAACAAAGGCTTGCAGGTTGCCAACGAGGCAGTATACCAATGTATAATCCAGAGGCCATATTTTATAAATTTAGAAAATTACAGTGACCATGGTCCTGTGTTGTTAAACTCCATATTTCAATAATTGTATTTAGCATGGTTAAGTAATATTTTCAGTAGTTTAGGTTTGGGAATTTAAATGTCCCTTTTCTTAACTAAGTGGCTGCCACCAAGGAAAACCAGACTAGGTCATAGGGAGTAGTCATAGGGATGAGTTGATAGTGCTCCAATCTGGCTATGGCTGGCCCGGCAAGCGACCAATATATGGGGGTCCAATATTATTGGTGCTGAACTTGTAACAGCTCCATCACTTTGATAAAGATTTGTTCCAATCTAGGGATGCACCGAATCCAGATTTTTGGGGTTCTGCCGAATACCGAATCCACTGGTTAAGATTCTTCAGAATCTAAACCCGAATACCAAATCCTACTCCCATCCTACTCCATAAACACTAAACACATTAATGAAGTAAACAACGTCAACATCAGTGTAGTTTTCATTTTATTTAATTTTCACTGGGAAAAAATAGGCAACTTTCTGCAAAGAGAATATGTTTGGTGACTTAACTGAAATGAATGTTATTGAACATTTACTCCATAAACATGGATAATAGGCTGTTTTTTTTCTCGTTTAGATAGGCAATGATGAGAACAGTAGCCAAATGTAACTAAAAATGTTAGGCCTAACCACACACATCTCCTGCATCACAATGAGCCTATTACCTCTAACCTTTCACATGAAATGAGAGGTTCCTTTCAGGAAAACAAGACTATGATGAGAACAGTAGCCAAATACTGTATAATATAGTCAAAAAATAAGCAACATTATGCAAAGAAAAGTGTTTTCCTTTTTAAAAATTAAAATAAAATACAAATCGCCTGGTTAACACAAGTTTTTAGCTGTGACTGTCCTTCATTTGTCATACCTGAAGTTGCTGCATTTTGTCTGCTGTCTGTAGATTCCTTCGTGCACAACTTGTATTCTTTTGGATGTTTCATATGCAAATGCTTTAACAGCGGGGATGTTGTGTATTGTCTAGGATTCTTGCCACCACGAGACAAATCGGCATTGCAAATTGAACATGTAGCTTGACTTGAATCGCCTTCTTTTATGTGAAAGAACTGCCAAACAACACTTTTTCTGTTCACAAGTTCCATTTTCACTTTCTCACAGCCTCTAGCTACTGCATTCCAACGCTCCACTTTTTGTAAACAGATCATTACGTCGACCAGCGTGGCGCGCAGTGAAAGCGTAGGGTTCGGGTTCGGTGGAAAAAAATTCCAAGGTTCGGCAGAACCTTGGACCAAGGACCACTGCAAAAAAGACCAATATTCAGCCGAACCCGAATCCTGGATTCGGTGCATCCCTATTCCAATCCTCTACTTTCTGTTCTAGCTCTCCTGTTCTCAACGCAACTGTGTAGTGTGTGTGGTTGATAGCTGGTTTACAGCCTCACCTGGCCCGAGTCAGACTGATTAGACTCTGGGGCTGGATGGGCCTGCAAACCTGTGGTGCATGAGCAGTCATGGCACCCAGGATAAACCAGCTATCAACACACACACACACTCAAGAGAGAGCCACTGCCATGGCAGCATGTTACATCTGCTCGGCAAATACCATTTTGCCATGTCCAATAAATGCATCCTACAACATCTGTGTCCTGTGTCGGAGGGCCCCAGCAAAAGCCACTAAGGTGGCGTGTGGCAGGACAACTGCCACAGAGATGTTTCATTTAAAGGTCTTAAAAAGTGTCGGGTGTCAACACTTCAATCAGTACTGTTGTCTTGAAGCATTGCAACGTGGTGCTGGAGCGAAGACATGATGTTAGTCCAGGACTCGTATGTGGGTAAACAAAGATTTCACAGCCTCTTCCTAGTTAGGACCAGACCATCCAGGTGATTGGCTGGTGGTTACCGGGTTCAAAGATACCTGTAACTTTTTTTTTTAGTGTGAATGGATAGTCCCCAAGGAACATTTTGCACATGTATACACTACAACACCATAATGCTGTGAAAAACAAAGCCGCAGTGTGCACAGTCTTCGTTTCTCAGTTCAGGCTTCTGGATCCAGACCACAAAATGCTTATTTTCTGGTATCCTGTTCCCAGCAGGTTCCCCTAAATTGACTAACCCATCTGGTTGGTGGTCCATCTAAACTCCCCCCAGCAGAACTTTCTATTACTTCCTCCCTATTAGGAGTAGAGCCCAAGTGTCAGCCACCAAGTGAGGCTTCTTCTCCCATTCCTCCACTAAACGAGAATAATACATCTCTCCCATAAGGTGCCACTCTTTAATTTATTTTTTGTTAGATCTGTTTGCTGACCAGATGGTTAATGGTTTTCCCACTAGAGGCTCTGGGAGGGATGATGCAGTGCTAATAATATCTTCAACATGGAGATGAGCTTTAGGATACAGCATGTTGAGACGTTAATGATGCCGCTCCCAGGAAACTGAGAACTCCTTTTTTTTAATGCCGCTAATTTACACTCCAGCTGATTTGAATGCACTGTTTGGAGATGGCAGGACTGTCGGCTGGTTTGAGACAGCAGTGTATTTTCCTTCAAATGATGCTCTCTCTGCGTTTATCTCTGGTGCAAAGAATGAGATGTTTTTTTTGTTTTTTCCAATTTCCGGTGGCATCGGTGCTTTTCAGCAATGTCAATTATTCAAAAAGACGCTTTGGTAATCTCTGCTTGGGCCATTCGCTCCCATCCTCTCAATGGTCTAAGTAAAAAGTGTGTGTGTGTGTGTGTGTGTGTGTGTGTGTGTGTGTGTGTGTGTGTGTGTGCGTGCGCGTGCGCGTGTGCGCGTGTGTGCAAGACTGCTTAGATGTCGCTCATTAATGGAGCGTGGCCGTGGTTTTCTCAGCATGCTGACAGGCGAGGAGTTAGTGCTTGTTAACACTGCACGCTGTGTGGCTCCAACATGTTTATTTTGTCGCCCCCTGTGCTGTCTAGAACGTGGCCCTTTTTAGTAGGGGCCTAATACATGATGCAGATTTAATTACATTAATTACACAAAATGTG